CCCTGCAGGGCTTCAAGGTCACCCAGGGCAATGCCATGAAGATCTCCTTTTGCCAAGAAGTAAGACCTTTTCCCCCATGCCTGCCCCTGTGTCTGTTCTTGGCTCGCCCTTCTCCCCTTGGCACAACCCTCTGAAGGTAAGTCCCCCTTCTCCGAGCCACGTGTGAGTGAGTGGTCACCACACAGCATTGTACTCAGAGTCTGTCCCCAAACACTGTACCTGGTGCTGTTAGGCCAGAATTAAAGTGTTTTTTTGAGGTATGGTTTAAACACATCATACATATATAAAAAACATATATATATATATATCTTAATATCTACATAAGATACAGAGACCTATACTAACACACACACATATGTATGTGTATGTCTGTCGTATAGGTCTCTGTATCTTATATAGATATTAATATATATATGTATATATATATTTATGTGTATAAATGCACACATATATATGTATTTCTATATATTGACACACACACACACATCCATATATGTCTCCATATCTTACATAGATAACAAGCTATAGATATACAGCAAGACAGGACACAGTCCTTAGCACCTAATGACAACTACTCTGATTATGATCCCTTCTCTAAGGACAGAGATCCTCCAAAGTGGTCACCAGACTCTGGATCTTCAGTAGCTAAATTCCTTCATCCATGGCTGTGTCTAAGAAACAAAGATATTTCACTGTTCTGGAGCAGCTTCAAAGAAGAAACATTTCCAGAGAAAATTACAGCGGTATACGATAAGGGACATGGTATCACTGTATTGAAATGGTGAATATACAATCAAACTTTGTTGCTGTGTGTCACCCCAAACACTGACAATAGCATAAAGAAACATATTTACCTAAAAATATGTCATTTAGATATCAAATAGATAGCCAGAAAATAAACAAAACTGAATACTTTCATGGCCCCCATTTAAAGGAAAAAAAAAAAAAGAAAGATAACAGATAAAAGGGCACAGTACTACCTCTTGTATCTGGGTTTATCCATGATGTTGCACAGTGAATTTTCAAGGGACATCCGTTAAAAACCTTTGAAAAACATGCACCCATCTGGAAAAACAAAGAATGCCCCATATGAAACAGTCAAAACAGCAGTCTTTGCTATAATATAAAATATAATTATTTTCTAATTTAATATGGGAGACTATAAGTGACAAACTAAAAATACTGCTAATCTTCAAACTTACAGAAATAAGTGTATCAAATCATAGTCAGTAGCCTAACAGTGGTAAGTAACTACAAAGGTTGCAGGTACAACAATGACTGTCAGCCAATAAAAGATTTTACTTAAGGGGAAAAAAAAAAAGTCATATTTTTTTCTATCTTCTCAACTAAACAAGGCAGTAATAGCAACGAATTCTCTAGGAAAACTGTTTACAGGAGTATCACCAACATGCTCCACATCAAAAATAATACATTATTCCCTGGTAAATAAGGAAGTTGAAATCCATACAAAGGTGAAAAATAGTATTAATCATGAATTTAATATTGCAAAGTGAAAAAAGTATGGTTGATTTGAAATCTGTATATGTACTACAATCTCAAAATATACAGACTAATTTTTCTTTTTAATTTAACAATCTGATCATTATACCTGGATGACTTTATTAAAATGATTTAGTCTTTGATGTTAATACTTATTTATAAGCCTACTGACAAATATTTCAAATCATAAATACCTTACCATGAGATATATATAAGGAGCCTGATGACACAGAAAGCACTTGGGCTGCTAACTAAAAGGTCAGCAGTTTAAACCCACCAGCCGCTTTTTGGGAAAAAGATGTGGCAGTCTGCTTCGGTAAAGATATACAGCCTTGGAAAACCTGTGGGTCAATTCTACTCTATCTTATAGGGTTCCTATGAGTCGGGATCAACTTGATGGCAGTGCGTTTGGTATTTTGATTTAATGAGATACAATATCATTCACCTGAACTTTCATTATGTCTTCAAATAGCAAACTGTTAATTTTGAAATCACTGTTGTAGTAAGAATAAATACTAAATGTACAAGAAAGTTCTTTCATTTAATCACTTTTACTACCAACAACTTGGGGTGGGGGAGAGTATTATAAATATATTTGGTCACAGGAAATTTCTATATCTGCCCTATTATGCTAAATTTGAAGTACAGCATTATATATCTTTTATAGCAGGAAGTTTTCTTCACAAACACTGAGGTAACATGCTGAAAGCAAACTTGCCAATAGTGAATTTAAAATATTAACATAAACAATCAAAACAATAAATCTTAAAATTTCCTTTTTACTCATATGAACCCACCAACCAATATTTCTAAGATTATAGTACCAACAGCACAACTTTAGCCTAGCAATAGTATCGGGTGGTAGGAGACCAATAAAAGTGTTTTTATGGTGTTGAGCAGAAACTGTATGTCTTAACTAATCCCAATAATTGCTCCTTAGAAGCAAGGATGATGAGACTTCATCTCCCGTACTTTGGATATGTTATCAGGAGGGACCAGTCCCTGGAGAAGGACATCATGCTTGGTAAAGTAGAGGGTCAACGAAAAAGAGGACACTCAATGAGATGGATTGACACAGTAGCTGCAACAGTGGGCTCAAACATAGCAATGATTTGTCAGAATGGTGCAGGACAGGTTGAGTGTTTTGTTCTGTTGTATATGGGGTCACTATGAGTTGGACACTTCCAAAAATTAGCCAACGAAAACCCTGTGGATCACAACAGAATACTGTCCAATACAGTGGTGGAAGAAGAGCCCCCTAGGTTGGAAGGCACTCAAAATACACAGTGGCTGCAACATACCAATGATTGTAAATATGGTGCAGGATCGCGCAAGATTTTTTTCTGTTGTACACAGGGTCAGCTGGAGTCAGAGCCATCGACTCAACAGCAACTAACAAGAAGTCATAGTTCTAGGTTTAGCTAGAGTTGGGTGGAGTTTGGGATCTTAGGGATTAAGATCTTTGTGTCTGTTTTACTCACGGTCAAAATAAAGGGCTTGGATAAGATCCTCACTCAGGGTTCCTTCTACTTCTACAATTCTGTCTGATACTTAAAAACATGCTAGAAAAAAATGTCATAGCTATATTTTATACTTCCTCTTATACCCATGTGCCTTCTTCACATTGCTTCAAAAATGAAACCCATTGCCATTGAATCAATTCCAGCTCATAGCAACCCCACAGGGTTTCCAAGCCTGTAAATCTCTAGGGAAGCACATCTTTCTCCCACGGAGCCACTGGTGGTCTGAACTGCCGACCTTTTGGTTAGCAATCGCTTTAATCATTGAGCAACCAGGGCTCCTTTTCTTCAAAATTAGACACAAATAAGTTACTAGCACTTTTTGAATAAAGGTGTTTTAAGTGTATAATTTATCATAATTTTATTTTGAAAAGCTAAATCTCAGATGTAATCAATTAATGTTAAATTAGCAACCTTATAAATTTTTTCAGTAATGGAGGTTATTTGAAACAGGTAAAAAATTCTAACCAAAAGCACACATTCAAGCCATTATTTGTCACTGTATTTAGTTTGAAAACAACCTACCTGATACTTAGTTTGAAAACAACCTACTTGATACTTAGTACTTACATGAACTTTAGGTGTTGGGGGAAGACCATTACTAATAGGCTTCTAGAAAAAGAACACATGCATAATTACACTTTTTTTTTGCTGCTGTTTTGTTTAACAATACTCTGTTTCAAATACATTTATACAAATAAAATATATTAATACATTCTCTTTGTAAAACAGAACATTATAGACAAGGTTGAAGTTGTCTATAACCCCTCCAGAGTCCACTGATTCCTAGGACCCGTACCAAAGAAAGCTGGTTTAGCGTGTATTCGTTCAAACCTTTCTCTAGGCCATTATATGTATGCATGTATTTGTGTTATCTTTCTGGATCTTTCTGTATACATTTATATTCATGCCTCCACAGAAAACAGAGTACTGTTTTTTTTGTGTGTATTAAACAGAAACAGTTATGTACTATTTAGCAATTTACTTTCCACCTCAACATTGGGTTGTAGTTCTGTCAGTACACATAGATCTGGTTCATTCCTCTTAACTGCAGCATTAAAAAAAAACACTGATGCCGTTGAGTCGATCTGACCCACTACACCACCAGGGTTTTCAACTGCAGCATAGTATGAATATAACCTACTTGATTTCATTATTCCCTAATTGTTACTGGGTACTTAGGTTATTTTCAATTTTTTACTCTAATAACAATGCTGAAATGAACACCCTTGCATATGCCTTTTTGTGCACATGTGTGAATTGGTTTTTTTAGGACATACTGTAAGAAGTAAACTACTGGAACATGGCAACTGTAGTTTTCACATTTTAGTGGATACTGACTGCCAAACTACCTTCCAGAGTGTTCTTATCAAATTATACCCACCAGTAATAATGAGATTTCCTAGGTCCTATAGTCTCATAGACACTGAGTCTTGTTGAACGGATTAGTAAAAAATGTTTGCTCATATGTTTCTCATTAATTTGCATGCCACTGATTGCTAGGAAACCTGAGAATCTTTTTTAAAAAACAAAGTGCATAATCTGTATTTCCTCTTCTGTGATTAGTCTTTTGCTATTTTTTTTAAATGAGTCATTTTTTTTCTTATCTATTTGTTAGAGTTCCTTATACCGTATTTTTATGCAAATAACACACAACTTCTACGTTTGTTCGCCAACCGCTCCCTCCCCCCACCCAGGTATTTTCACAAGCGCTGCTATGCCAATTTTTTTTTAATTTGTTGTTGTAAAAAAATATTAGCATGGTGCACTTATAAAAATACCTCACGGCGGGAGGGAGTGGTTGGCAAACAAATGGAGAAGGCACACACTATTTGTGTAAAAATATAGTCTAGATTTGAATACTTTATCTGCTATGTATATTGCAGATATTTTCTCCTGGTTTGTAGATGATTTACAGTATGTTCTGTCAACTGAAGTTTTAAATTTTGATGAATTGAAATATATTAGTCATTGGCCAGAGTATACAACCAATATAAAGAGAATAGAAGAAGAATAGTCCCTCGTCCTGTATATTCTCAAGAATGTCAGATATCTTCCCAAGGGGCTACATTCTTGGGGGATATGATTTGTCCACTGGAGAGAGGATCTCCTTGGGATGGTTTATAATTTAAATGTAAATTTTTATGAAAGTCTAAATTTCTGTCAAGATTAATCTCAGTAACAGTATTTTAAGGAACAGGATTATGTATTCTCTTCCTCAATCTGATATAAATCAGAAACATTTAAAAGATGTGATAAATGAAAGCAAGCAGCTACTGTTAATTGATTTTAGATATATGATACAAATAAAATATTCTCTATATAGTACTGCTTATATTAGTAATTAACACACTTCTAAAATTAAGATTATATAATATTTTACTTTGTATACTTTTCAGAATGTACAGCATCATCATATATTATTGTCTCAAATTTCTGATGACTTTTGATTCCACTTTACAAAGAATTTATGTACTTAATATTTTTTATACTGACATCCTTAAATCATATCTACTTTAATTAAGGAGCTCTGAATGTTATAACTCTCAGATTTAACAACAGAATTGGCTGTAAATCATTTCAAGCAGCTGCACAAACTGTATTGTTTCAATATACCATGGATACAGTTTATCTGATAATATAGCCATGGGCATATTATTTCAGAATTAGTGAAACTGTTATTTTAACTGTCCTTGTCCTAATGAAACACGGTAATGGAAAAGCGAATAAAAAATGCAGACATAAAAATTCATATGTCTCTTCAAAAGTTATTATACTGTGTGGCAGAGTCACTAAGTTGCACTTTTTGAATTAGTAGATTAGCAGGGCCGCTAAGATTTAAACTGATGAAACACTATGTCATATTCTACAGCGAAACTAAAAAAAAAATTTAAACAGATAAAGTACAAAAGCCTCAAGCAATGTGCTTACTGCACAAAGCCATAGCTATCTGCATATAAACATAATAAAACCAAAAAAATCAAACCCACTGCCATCCAGTCGACTCTGACTCATAGCGACCCTGTAGGACAGAGGAGAACTGCCACATAGGGTTTCCAACGCTGTAGATTTGTGGAAGCAGACTGCCACATCTTTTTCCCATGATCAATGTATAAAGTGCATTATAAATTTCTACAAAAATTAACAATAAATATTGGTACACAAAAAACTTAAAAGAACATATTGTTGCAGCTCACAATCTCATTGGTATCTGTTAAAGTTATTAGGGATTTAAAATTTTTTGTTGTTTAAAGTTTTATGATAATAGACGAATGTCTTCCTATCATTAAGGGTAACTTTTTTTACAAATGTTTAAAATTATTAATCTTGCATGATCTCTGAAAAAATAATATTCATGTTTTAATAATTATGTCATAGTTTATCTAACGCTTATACCAGGAGTCTGATTTTACCTCACCTCATATCCACTAGAAAATAATCTTAGTTTTTCCCCCTTGTTAGTCATTTTCTTTGAATAAGAGCAACAATACTACAAATTGTCTAATCTATAGTTAGAAATCTGTCTTGGGGAAGAAGCTATAGCTTTTCTTATCTGTCCATGTCCTTTTTTCCATAACTTCTTGAGACTATAAGGGGAAGTTTAAGAGTCACTTCTCATTAATGAGAATAAAAATAGTTATTTTTTGAACAATCACAAGAATATTAAATGTTTACCTGTATGTTGAAAGTCACCATACAATAGACTGTTTTAAATAATCTGAACCACAGAAAGCCATCATTCAAGTTTACACAGCAAAGATACATTTTTCCCAAGATTTAAATAATCTATTCATCATTATAACTGAGACATCAAAGTATCAGTGTACTAATTATAAAATATACAATTGCTGTAATTTCACTAATAGTGAAAAAGGAAGCAAAAAGAAGTAGAACTTTTGAACATAAATACCTACTGGTACATCTTTCTTTTCTTTCCTTGAAAGGTTTGTGCCTCTATGTTCATTCTGTTGTTGATGTAATGAGCCATCTCGTTCACCATTTAACTGGAAGGAGCTCATTCCATTTCCTTCAATAAGATGTGTTTAAATATATTTCAAAAGGATTAATTTTCATTAAGAAAACTATTGAGTAGGAAAAAATAATATTAACTCTGAGACATTTTCAATCCTCATTTGGGATCACCCACTCAGAATATTTACAACTGAAGTAAGAAGTCTTACATATATATTTTATATCTCTATTTTTGGCATATAGACAAATTTAAATTTACATTGTATCTAAATATACATGTTTGAGTTAAAAAGATAAAAACAAAACACTGAATTTATAATTATTTTCAGGAGAAGTGGAATTTATATTATGTTAGCCAAGAAACTTTTCAGTTGCTCTTTTTTTAAATTGCTTCTTCTGGATAATACAGAAGAACCCTTACAGTATTAATTAGGAGACAAATACCTAGCAAACAGCAGTCATCATTTTTCTAAAAAGTAATTAAATGAAATAAATAGGTTAGACAAATTATCTTCTTTTTTTCTAAAACAGAAGCAACATAGAACCAAAACATATCTTCCTTGTTTGTTCACAGTTAAAATTGCAATTGTTTCTCTCTAACTAAATGATGAACTGGGCATAAACAAGTCTCTGAAGAGGGAAGCTGGACATAAAATGAGAAATAATGGGTAAAACTTTCCACACTGGGTCAAAGGTAATCCTGCCATAAAAATTTACCCTTCTAACCATGAGGCAAAAACAGAAAACATCTTTATAGCCACTGCCTTCCTTCTCCCTTTCCTCAAAGGAATTTCAAATAATCTCTTAAAAGATTTCTTCCATTTTATTTCATGTCTCCCTCACCAAATTACCTAAAGCAATAGACTTTTGTGGGGGTAATCTGGGAGGCGGTGGTCTAGGCGGAACCTGGGATAGTTTTGCTGGGCTCTCTGACATGGGACACCTCTTGATTGTTCCTTGATTCTCATCCTCAGTCGAGTGAGGTTCCTGGGGTATAAAGATGGACTTAGGCTGAAACAATACAGAAAAGAAGACCAACGATTAAATGTGAAATTGTTTTCCTGAAGTAAATATTATTATGTATCACAGGCTTTGGCTCTCAAACTGTGTTCACCATACAAGTTTCAAGGATATGCAAATATCTGATTCAGATTTATCTTATTATATTCAATTATTTAAAATATATACTAAAAATACATACTCAAATGATGTCTCTCTCAGGTTTTGCTTCTGTGCTCCCCTCCCCCCCAAAAATAAAGAGGTCTCTATGTCTTTCTGTTAATTTTTTTTATAATCCTTTCCACTTAGAGACTTACCAAATAAAAATATTCTGGTCTTTCTGATCTCCTCCAGTTTAAATGAATCTTTTTATTTTAAACATTCAGGCTAAACAAAGTTCAACCCCTTATTAAAGCTAATCTAAACGATCTATTTTAGACAACTCAAGGTCTTTTGTGTTAAAGCTTAATCTTTCAGACTGGGAGTACAGGGAAAGTACCAATGAAAATTTTATCCTACTAGAGAATATCATCACAGTAGTTTTTTGTGCAGATGACGGGTGATCTCCAGCCAGCTGAAAGTCTGGAGAATTGATAAATTCTTATAAACCTGACCCTTATTAGAAAGGTTGCTCAGCACATGTCTCTTTGAAATTCAGATCCCTATACTTCTACTGGAGCCCTGGTGGCACAGTGGTTAAGTGTTCAGTTGGTAATCAAATGGTCGGGAGTTCAAATATACTAGCTGCTCCTTGGAAACCCTATGGGGCAGTTCTACTCTGTCCTTTAGGGTAGCTATGAGTTGGAATTGACTCAACAGCCATGGGTTTGTTTTTTTGTATATTTCTGTTAATATAAAACTAAACAAGCAAGTACAATATTATTTACCTGTATGAATAAAGATTTTCTCAATAGTGTATAAAAGGAAAATGGAATACGGAAATACACTGGATACCAAGACAGGTAAAACTGTAACTCTCATTTATAACCCCTGATTTTAAACCTTAAAACAGCTTCACTGTTGACTTTTTAAATAAATTTGTTACAGAATAAATTTATACAACCATTATCTATATTAACTAATTTTACCCTCACGACAAACCTATCAGTGGGAATTACTTTATAAAATTACTTTATTATTTTATGATGATTTTTTGATAAAAGTATTTTGTTGTTTAAAAAAATTGAAAACTACTGCCCTATTCTGTATTTTTACTTTAACAGTATCATTTGAAATTTAAACTTCTATGATGATAAATCCACTCTCAGGAAATCAGTTACTAGCAGATTATAGGTTTTGAGAAAATAAATTAAAAAAAAAAAAGTTTTTCTAATCTGAGTAAAATAATACTAATCAAACCATACAATCATTTTCAGTGTAGAAATTTGTAGAACTTTTAAAAATAAACACTAAACGACAAGTTGTGTAATTAAAAAAAAAAAATCAGAATCATATACTTATGGTTAATCATCTGCTTATGGTTAACACTTCATGATGTCTCTTGGTGAATCCCAAATGAAAATAAGCTACTGAATAACTATCAATACAGTATTAAAGTGGCAGAACAACAATACCCACCCCAACACTCACCCACCCAAAACGCAAACTGAAAAATAAATTTGTCTACCTTTGGTGGCAAAGGAGGCGGAATTTTTGCTTTCATGGTTGAACTAAAAACACAAAAGTTTAGAATCAGAACTCTTTATTTTTAAAATGAATTATTACTAAACTACAATCATTGTTTCAAAGATATGGAAGAAAAACCTGCATAAGTGAGTACTTTTTTTGGTAAGATTATGAGTTTTCCAAAATATTTCCGGAAATACTGCAAGTGAGGTATTATTCTGAAGTCTATAAGGTAGACACACTTTCTTGGTTTCAAATACTACACTGTAATTAAAACTGGAAAAGATAATAGCACAACTGCAGTTTATATTAATTGAAAGGTAATAAACATAAGAATTTAAACAACTTGTTTATGGAAAAATTGCAGAACGACACAGTATAAAATATATCACATAATCTTCATTTTTGCTACTAAAACATCTTTGATGAAGCTCATCAAAAGCTATATATGTGCTCTATGAAATTATAGGCAGAATTTGTTTGACTGAAGCTAAGATGCATAGCAACTTAGAAAGACTTA